GAGCCCTGCCCGAACGACGATAGCTAGAGAGCCGGGACTTGCATAATTTTGTAGAGTAACGTCCGAACTATCTACGCATGCAAAAAAATTACTAACATTGTATGTTAGTTTTCTGAGAACGGAGCTGCTTTTCCAAAGATCCTCTGAAAACCCGATTTTGAGATTCCCAGAGATGTCTGCAGAAAATTAGCATTATATCTATATACCAGTAGTGATAGCAAAATAAAAGGAATAAATGACTTGTCGACAGAACCATCAATGGCCACTATTAACATTTAACACACACTAAACTGTGTAAGAATAGGTTGAAGCGCCCTAAGAGAAACACGAAATTTTGATTTAATCTTATGTTGCCGTTTCATTTCTACTTTATTTCATTCTTAACTTAAAATTCATGTGATTATTCACTGAATTGAACACACATACATTATCTCTGATTATCATGACCCGAAGAGAAAGCCGAAAAAGAGTTTATTCAACTGCTGAATATAAAATATATGACTTTTTAAAATTAATCACTCATTTAGTTGAAAATGTTGATGCATTCTAAAATCTAAAAATATTGCGTTTCTATCTATCGCGTGACTTTACACGTTTATGTTTATGCAATTAGACAACAATCGTATCTACACCGACCTAATGAACGGGATGGAGCAGTAACAATCGACCGATCGGAATATATTTCGAAACGCTCCCTTAGTTTTCAATCTAATTGATATATTTTGACAGGTTTATACGGAGAGGGATCCATTCCAGTTAATTTTATTTTAGTCTGTAAAGTTGACAGACCTTAGAGTGAGGGTGAGGGTGACGGTGCAACTTTACACACTAAAATAAAATTAACTGAAACCCTCACCCTCCAGTATCTCAGTAACAAAGCACCATGGGCACAAACCAACTTAGGGTATTTCACTGCTCACTGAGATCTGCAAGATAAAAGTAGTCTGATGGTCGTGAGTTCAAAAGCTCATAGATTTTCTCGTCAGATGAGGAATATGATGGTTATGTCAATGGCGATGATTAGAGCGTGGAACTCTAAGCTTCTGATGCTGAAAGCACATTTTCAAGAGCGTCGTGTGATCGAGAACGACGACAGGATCAACAACGTAAACGTGATTATTCACCATCACGTCGTAAAAAAGTGAAAAAACATAAGAAATCTCAATCATTTTCTGCTTCAAGATCGTCCTCATCGTCAAGTCTTTCGACTTCTTCTGAATCGACAGTCTCATCTAACTCAAATGATAGTGACAAAAAATTCTTCGACCCAACGGCAAAGAAACATTAACGTGCATTACCAACAGAAATGCAAAATTTCATCAGCAAACGTTTCACAATGATTCGCAAACGTGATGTTTTAAAATCTAAAATATTAGATAAAATGAAAACAACAGAAATTCATTGTATATCGGCACGGGAATTGGATGCTACAATGTTAGAAATGTTTCCCGACAAGTCATTCGCGGTGAGAAACGATTAAACACTAAAAGCACTTCAACAGCATATGTCGAATGCATTAGCACCATTGACGAATTTTCTGTTGGAACTTGTCCAATAGTTAACAATAGTTTTCCACATACGTAACTTGATGAGTTCTACAAGCTAAGTAGATCAGAATTTTTCGATCCGAAGATTCGTGGTGAAAACACATAACTCTAAACGTTTTTAATCTAACACATAATTTTCAATTCTCCTTTTTTCGAAACCGAGAATAGACGGATGGTAGTTCAAGTTGGAAAGCCAGATTTACAGTACGTTCGAAAGAGGATATCAGTTTGTATACATCCTGAAAGTTTCGTTGCCTTTCGCTTAGTTTTAATTGAAAAAAGCTTTTTTATCATTTCTATATGACTTCGGGACTAAAACTATTCCAAAAACCTTGCCACGGATTCCAGTTGAGATTACATGTGGGACCTGGAAGTGTCGTATAAAAAGTTGTTCAGAATATCGATAGTGAATGACACGTATATTAAACTACGCTGTAAAAAAGTAGCTCTCTAGTTTCCGGTTGCCAATTTGGCCTATAAGAGACTTTTCACCTGTGTCATTACTTTAAGATATTCTTCTATTTGTAAGAACATTCTGTTTACTCTAATGTCTAGACAGATATGGTTCTTATTCATAGTGAATGTGTTTTTGTGTGACATTAGTGAAAATTCTTACTAGTCTTTGAAAGAATCATATTTTGCTAAAGTTTAGAAAGATTTTGTCTTATTTAGCAAGAACCTACTTTTTACGTCTCTTCTGTCAAAATCCTTTTTCGACCTCTTTCCTTTGCGAATCATTTTTAAACAAAAGTTGCACATGATACGACGCTTAACTTGAATTCCTCGCTTCTCTTTAGAAGAAGGAGGAATTGTAAAAGAAATTCGCAAAACGAACATCTTTCGTCCCTAAAGACAGATTAATTGAGTGTTCAAGTCGGTAGTGATGATCGTGATGACTTTCTATTCAATTATTGCTTAGTTATTAACTAACTACTGTTTAAAAAGTTTAATGCGCCTACACTCTCATATTATGGCTGAACAAAAAAATTGAAAACAAATAGAAGACATCCTAAAACATCGAAATTTCGTTCATTGAAGAAAAAATAAAATTAGCCAAAAAGGGTATTTCCATGCCCCCTAGCCGAGGAAGCACCGAAAAGCCAAAGTAGATAGTGATTCGGATGCAGAACTTTACGCTAAATCCGAATATGAAATCAGAGAACTTACTCCAGCTCCACCTTTTGGAAAATCGGCAAAAACTGATAAAAATCGTGTTTTCACTTCAACAGCATATGTCGAAGCTTTTCGGTGCTTCCTCGGCTATGAAGCGAAATACCCTTTTTGATGGAAAACAAGAAAATGAGGTAAATTGAAGATTAATCCTTACCAAACCATTTTTGACACCTCTAATACGCATATTCGTGATCAGCGTGGTCGATTACATATTCCAGATGGGTTTGGAAAAAATCAAAAATGAAAAGTTTTATAGACATTGTGGTAAAAAGAATAAGAAAGGGAGTTTTCATTTTTTCTTCAAGTTAGTTTATGTTTGAGTCTTTATCATTAAAATTTTATTTTGTCTATGAGTTTGCCACTAGATATATTACAAGACTGCGAAATGTCTCGCTTTGAAGAGAAAATACTCTCCAATAAAAACCACTTTTGTTTTATGTTTTTGAGACACTAAAAATCGTTTTAAAACCTGATTTTGAGCTCAATCAATAGACAATTCATTGTTCTACAAAACTATTGGCTTTGTTTTCCAAAGAAATTTTCCTTATCATCTCAAAATTTAAAAGATTAACAGCTACTCAATGGTCCAATTACGACGATTAAAAAACGAAAAAATGATGAAAATTTTTTAATAACGATTCCGCTGAAACTTCAAATATGCTGCAAAGTTCTACGTAAAATTCTGCATTTTTTAATCAGCATTATAGAGAAAATATTTAAGAGAAAAATTTTTGAAGTAGAAAATGTGAAAATATCAAAAAAATCCATTTTCTGATAGATCTCTGTTAGGTGTTAGTTTCAAGCTTTTTTCTCCTGAACGATAGCATCAGGAACCTTAAAAAGGTCATAGAAGCATAGAGCACAAAATTCTCTATCTATAGATATTAAATACTTTACTTTTAGCATCGGACTCGATGAGAGTAGGCTTACACAAATCGATAGATGTCTGCAGAAAACAGGAGATCGCAGTTGGACGATTGAGTAGGTGTTAACCTTTTAAATTTTGCGGCGACAAGAAAATATTTTTTGAAAAACAAAGTCGATAGTTTTGTAGAGCAATGAATTGTCTATCGAATGAGCTCATAATGGGGTTTTAAAATGGCTTTTAGTGTCTCAAAAACACAAAACAAATGTGGCCGGTTTATTCTGACTTACCATTATATTGCTGAAAAAACAATTAAGGGGTGTTTATCTTCAAAAAGATTTAGCTCTTGGAGAAAAAGACCAATCATTCTATATCATATATATACATATATATATATAGAAAAGTTAATACTAAACACATAATTCGAATAACAGATTCAATGAAATAATATAGTTATTATTATGAATCATATCGAAGTATAAAACTTATTATTTTTATGTGAACAGAAATATTGTGTTTTTGCTGGAAATTTTGTTTTTATTTTTGCAAAATGTGCGCCGCCTGATCTAAAGAAGTACGCTACGTAGAAAACTTCTGAAAACGGGAGGATAATCTCCCGACATTGGAGATTGATTAATGCACATTTTTCTCTCAAATAAAGGTCCAGATCCGGTACCATAAGTTGCACAAGTGGAAGAAAAATGTATTTTGGACTTAGATAATTATTGTTATTTTTTCTGTCCGGTGCCATTTAGTCAAAGAAAGAAAAATAATTTTTTTTAATTATTTGTTATTTATAAATAAAAACATAAAAACATTTAAGTACTGAGAAGAGAATTTTAAGTTAGTAGAAGAAAGAAAAAGAAAATAAAAAAATAAAAAGACGATTTGTTATTTCAAAATAGAAGGAATAACTAGAAATTCATTGATTATGGAAACGCAGATTTAAACGCGTTTCGTAAAAATCTGCGTTTGAATCGAACGCGTTCAAACGCTTTTATGTGTGAAGATCGTTCGAACGCTTTTTTTCAAACGTTTTTGTTCAGCGTTGTAAAGCGTTTGACGATTAAAGGCGTTGAAATGCCGAAGATATTTAATACTCGACTCATTATGACACTACTATGCGATTTTGTGATTGGACTTTTCTCTCCAGAGACTACTCTTTAGTGTAACACTGCTGGGTATCAGTACCACATGACCATGCCATAATCATGCAACACTGTCGTACCACTTCTCTTATGAAAAAGAAAGGATGAAGTCAAAAGTTATTTGAAATATAACAAGAATACGGTGATGGTTATAGAGAGACGTTGATAAAAACGGTTAATTACACCTCTGTGAAATACTGAAGAATTTTTAATTTACACTAGTTCAATAATGAGTCGACCTCCTGCTGTTGGTTTTATATCCCAAAAGTATGTGCCTTCAATAACTTTATCATTGATTTGAGCTGTATAAATAAAATATCCTGGATGATGTCCAAAACGTTCTTTAATATTCATTGTTCTGTTTTCAACATCAAATGTTCCTGTCCATGTTGCGTCTGTTGATTCATTATATTCAGAACCTTGTTCAACTAATAAATTTGCCAATAGAGATCGATCTTGATGTAATTCTAGTGTAAACGTTCCATTAGTATTGGTGATATTTCCACCGTAATTAATTGTAGTCATTTTTACTTGATAATTTCCGTATTTAACTTTGAATAAAGTTAAATCTTTTGTCCAATGCAATTTAAACATTTCCTTAGAAGATGTTGCATCGGAATATTTATGTACGAGAAATGTGTGATTAAATTGATTTTTATAAAGTCGCTTCCAAAGTTGTTCGTCTTGGACCAAGTTATAGAAACGTTTATTTGTGATGGATAAAGTTAAAAGGTCACGGTAACCAAGAAATGACATTAATTTTAATAGCAATTCGTCGGGAAACTGGTTCATGATATTTATCTAGCGCTTATGAAAAAGATCAATGTAAAAACAAACCAGTTAACAGAGTTATTTTCTACAAAATGTCACATCTTTTTTGAAAACATGGAAAATTATGACAAACTTCTGAATTCAACATTCTTGAAACGTTTATCATATCAATCTGGATGTCACGCTGCGATCACTGTCGTCGCTATGAACACTTATTTTTCAAAAGTACGTAATTCAAGGGCATGCCGTAGCCTTTTTTCTAACGGCACTTGCGAACTGCATTACAACATTTGGATACTGAGTCAATGTTGCTATATGTCTTCGAGTATGTATGAAGGAGAAAGTGATGTATTCTACTATGTCATAACTATTATTTATTATTTTCAGGGTGCATCTGATCCTGATCCTGATCCTTCACCACTGTTTCTGTACTGGGTAAATTCACGTAAAAAGCATACCACTATTATATCGACTTTCTGGGTCAGCGTCGAAACTCAGCTTATCTTGTAGACCACCTCGAGTTCTATTAGAAAACGCAAAGCAGAATCCTCGGTTTTGATTTTCAAACCAAACTGAGAACAAATAGCGCATTTGTCAATACCTTTTAGCCAACTTTTAATGCTTAGGATTTTTTTTCGGAAGCCTACAGATTTCTAAATTTCACTGTATATTAAACACAACACTGATCGTCTTAAAAGAAAGTTTAACTCCATGTGTAGAACTTGAGATATTCAGTTTCAAAGGTTTTTCTAATATTTTGAGAATTTCTCAACTTCTGACATCTAAAACCTGATAAAAATTATTTGAATATTGATAACTTTTTGTGCTGAGTACGAATCTAACCCTGGAACATACATCTAGAAAATTCAATTCGTACTCAGTACAAAAAGAACTGATCCTTATATTACGCGCCCAGTCTTCGAGACTGCCTTTTTGTAACTTTTCTCGTCAGCTAAGTTGAGACTATATACGTCGAACGTCATTAAAATAATAGAAAAATGAATGGGATATGATTCTACGGCTTCAGAAATAAGTTTAAGTAAGTCGACCTGTACAAGTAAACATCATTCTACGAGTAACTTTTTCATTCTTTACTGCTAACATAATTACAAAGTGTCAATTCAATCTCATAATCTACAATCAGTTTTCTAGATTTTTTAACTTTACGTGTTTATCGAAAACCAAAAGAATAACAACTTGAAAACTATAAAGAAAAAAGTACTACTTGCCCATACAATAACAGCATACGGAGTATTTTTTAAATAAAAATTTTTAATAAGCGAATACTATACTACTTTATGTAATAATAGATGTTGATTAAAACAATTTCATAACATCAAATGATGCTAGTTAAATATGCAAATCAATTAAGTCAAATATGGTACAGAAAAAAAATATACACATGTTCTTTTCATGTTTATGTGTGACTACGATAGTTTTACATTCTGTTTTTCAGGTAGATTGAAGAATACTGTACTCAATTTTCTTTCCAATCCAAGTCGCCGGTAAAAATATTCTCACCGATGAATAAATTTACCGATACGAATTTTAATGGCTTCCCATAATTTGTTTATCGTATGATTTAATCTGAATATTTATGGCTATATTTATTTCGACATTGAGAAAAGTGATTGATTTTCTCTATTTTACTACCTTAATTGCGATCGATTAATGGTTTTACAATTCATCAGGCAATTTTTTTCCATTTACCTCATTGAGGTCATTCGAAAAAACTGCGGAGAAACGAATTTGGGAGGTATTTTTAAGATTTTTACATAGGCTTCCAAAGATCACTGTTTTCTGTCTTTGAAAAAATGATTGAAAATTAAGCCATTTATCCTAATTAGAAGTTCAAATGTTTAAAAAGTTTGTTCAATTATCCTTCCCATCCTATTCTATCTCTTAGTCATGCACATTATTCACAAATAACGAGTGGTGCAAAAGTTCGGCATTAATTTTGGTTTTGATATAGCGTTGCAATGAAACATCATAGAGACTTTATCCTTTATTTTGTTAGAAAGAGCAAAATGTCTAGTACAAAAATATATAAAAGTGTTTGATCGGAAATGTTTTCGAAGGTCAGAAAAATGTTCGAACAAAAGGCATCGGGAAACTTTTCCGCAACTTCGGTCACAATTCTTGTATCCAAATATATTTGTTTTGACCTTTTTCATTACCCACTGTTGATGTTTTCGAGTACCACATATATAAAGTTGTTCATTACAACGAAGGCTTTCGTATGATATTAAAAAAATTGGCCTTGAGAACAAGAGACTGAGAAGAAGACCCTTTGATTAAAAACTCAATTTGGTGTTTACAACGTGAAAGCAACTTTTTGTCCCAATGTCTCACAGAGCAACAGTGTTCTATTCCAAATAATATCGCTTGGTAGAGGACTCAATAAGCTTTCTTTTCCATGTAAAGTATATAGTTTCTAATAACTTTCCTCTAGGAATAGAATTTTTTTCGACTAAAATCGACAGTGATGAAAAATCGGTGGTAAAATAGGACGAAAATAATATAAAAGACCGTTCTAAAACAGAAAGAAAAATTTTTTTTTCCCGCAACAGCATTCTGTCCTAACATTATAAAGCTCGGAATAAAACGAATAAAAAAAAAATAAACTTTCTTATTGGGCGACATTTTTCCTAAATTCGGAAAGGTTGCGGAACAGTTTCTCGATGCCTTTTGTTCGAATATTTTTCTGACCTTCGGAAAACATTTCCGAATTCAAACAATTTTATATATTTTTGTACTAGATACTTTGCTCTTTCTAACAAAAAAAGGATAAAGTCTCGACGATGTTCCATTGCAACGCTATATCAAAACCAAAATTAATGCAGAACTTTTGCACCATCCGTTACATACAACAAACATCTGTCTATAAAATGAGACATTCCACAAGTCTAAATGATTCTTAATAACCGAGTTATAACAATTTTTCTGGATATTCTAAAACACAGTTGAAAATAACCGGTCCATAACCGATGTAGACCTAGTTATTTCAAGTTTCTTAGAATATATTTGAAGATTCTCAATTATCTGATTGATTTATTATTAAGCGATCGTATAACAAAATGAGTACAAAACGAACAAATAATGAAGCAATTCTCTTTCTAGCAAAATAACAAAATCATTATTCGAAAAACGAACCATAAAAGAGAATATTAATGAGAGAATTTACAAAACACCAAAAAGAAAAATATAAAACACATAAAGAGCTCGTGAAATACATTAAGCAACGTTCATATAAAAAAGATTTTTAAAAAATGACTACTACTGTTTATTGGTCATGTAGCACACACGCACACACACACACATATATATATATATAAAGGGAAGAAAAGTGAGAACAAAACACAATGGAAGAGATTCATTATATACAAAAGAATAGAGAAAAAAAAATATATCTGGCCGGCAGATCATATCTTAAAAATGCGCGTGAAGTATCTACATATTATAAGCAACGTAAATCGGATCAAGTAAATCGGATATAAAACCATCTCTTAAATGCATTCGTTGTTTTTCGCCACGTGAATTTACAGGCACAATGCCTGGATCAACAATAACCAGAACGCCAACAATAATATAATGTTCTTCCAAAATCGAACTTGTTATCAAAGGTACTAAATCTAATGATTGTGATTCTAAACCGTCATATTCGACAACAACAACTAATAAATTTGTCCATGTAAAACAAGCACTAAAAGAGACAAATAAATTTTATGAGAGTGATATTGAGATTATCAAGTAGGAATGAAATATTCTAAATAGTTTGATTTAACACAATGAAAATCTAAGGTATGGCTATCATTTATTTCAAATTTCTATAGTTTTTTAGTTATTTATCTTATTTACATTTTTTTAAATAAAATTGCTGTGCTTTTATGCATAGGAAAACGGTATAAAGCATGTTTCGTGAATAAGTATCAGAAAACAAATGTTAAAAAAGTTAGCAAACAAAATAAATTTTTAAATAGTTTTCAAACAGATTCTTAGAGAATGTGAACTCTACAGTATAGCTCAGTATAGCTAAAATGTTTGTGACTCTTCTATAAATGTTAACGAAATGGTAATTCGAACATTTTAAGTCGTTCTCGCTAGGACGGAATGAGTGGGATGAAAGTTTGCTAGTTTCACAGGACTGTATCTCTCCTCAGTCTTCAGATCAGTTAGAGAAGTTACACAAAAGGTGTAGACTAGAAAACCAAAATCGATAAGAAATAAATTGGCAAAAACAATATAAGAAGTCAAGTTGAATATCAGCTTCCATTTCTCAAATAGCTTAATTAATTGTACTTTAACAATGTACTTTTAAAGTATAGTCAAGTGACGAAGATGCAGATATAAAACTGAAATTAGTCATTTGTATGACTCATTAACCATTATCAACAAGTAGTACTGACAAATGTATAGTATCTCTTTTCCCATAATTGGTTACACGGTTGGCTTTAAACTACAAACAATATATTAATTCTGGCTTTTATGCATCAGCAAACAGCCATTAGCTTACCATTCACATATTTTCTTGTGTGTTCTCATGACTGTATTTTCAATATCAATAGGATGATATCTCATGCCTCGAATAAGTAAAGTTTCATCTAATGCACCAACAATATAGACAGCATCATGATTTTCTACAAATAATGAAGAAACAATTTTCATACAAAACTCTGTTTAGTTTACTTTTCTAACATACTTCCATCTGCTGCTATTGAATCTGTACGTCTAACAAATCCTAAATAGCCTGTTCTAGCATAAACTTGTCTTGTATCACCCGTAGCTAAACGTGCATAATATTGACTTTGATCCCCACCTAAACCATTTTCATCACCATAAATTGTATAACAACCAGATGAATTATGAGAACATTGAACCCATAACTAAACAAAAATTCTCCTTATTTTGAATATTTCTCACTTAAAAAAATGTGTCATCTCTATATATTACCTCTCCCAAATGAGCATCAGCACACTGTCCTTTACTTTCTGGATTTGCAATGACAACCTTAACACCCGGTAAGAGCTAAAAATAGCATAAATCATCAGTATGATAATAATAATAATAATAAATTCTATATTTTTATGTCTTACTTTTCCCGATTCTAATAAACATAAACTATGTGGACTTCCTTTTTCTACTAATGTTACTCTATCATTTCTCAATGCACGTTGATCAACATAAACAGGTGAAGGATCAGGATCAGATGCACCCTGAAAATAATAAATAATAGTTATAAAATAGTAGAATACATCATTTTCTCCATTATACATACTCGAAGACATATGGCAACGTTGACTCGACATCCAAATGTTGTACTCACTGAACGAGGATTTAATCCTAATGTTTGAAATAATTTTGAAAATGAATTTAATAAATGAAGACGAGGACGTTCTTCGGCAACTACAGCACACGTTCGAACACACGATAAATTCAAACCGCGATTCTAAACATTAAGCAAAATACATCAGTCAATCAGTTAAAAAGAAAAAAAAAACAGGAATACAAATGTATTCTTCAAAAATCATTTTTTTATTATCTAATTTTAATTGAATTTCATTTGTCGAACTTACTTTAAGATCAACAATTGAAGAACTTAATCCTTTGGTACATAATTCCATAACAGAATAAGAACAAAATGTATCACGAACTAAAAATAGAAATAATAAAATAATTTTTGAATTTTTGAAATATAAATAAATACAATAAAACGTACTTTTATATTGATTAATAATTGACATCCAAACAGATGGATTCAATTCAATTTCAGTTGGATCAATCAAAATTGAATGATGACCAGCATAAATACTAAAAGAGAAAACAAAAAAAAACACTAAACGTAAAGTTTGATTTAATTAACTCATGATAAGAAATCTTGTCAAGACGGAACCCCTTGTGGGAGCTAAAATGGTGAAATCCCTTAACATTAGCCGAAAGATGGTATTGGGTATAGTATACAATAACATAAAAGAGATTAGGATGTACAAACATACAGGTGCCATGCAGAGAGTGAGTTTAAAATTAATTAGAAATCGAAAATAATCACAAATTTTTTGTTTCAATTTCGTCGAAAATTCTTTTTTTTCAATTCTAATATAACTTTAGTTTTTTGTTTTAAATGATGACTCAAAGAATAATGAGAATAAAAATAATAGCGGAAAAAGGGTATGTATTTCAAATCGTAGAGGCGACAACGCAATATCAACAGACTAGAAAAGGGTAATTACGATAAGGAAAGTTTGAGAAGACAGAATGAATCAGGTTAATCCTTTACAGCTGATTACGTAAAGTAAACTTGGAACTCTTGTACCTTTGTCTCGGCCAAATGAATTTTTTTTCTTATTAGCAATTGCTAGCTTATGGTGTCAGCTTACACCGGAAAATAATCGATTTTTTGATCCGATACATCGTCATCTTGCTGTAGTGATTCTACGATATCCCACTAATGTCCATACCTCGCAGTCTTAAGAATTTAACGAAAATTGCAGCGGCTTTTTAAGATAAATATGCTAAAACAGGGATTTTTGAGTATAATTAATACTTCAACTCCTTCTTCTCTGGAGATACTGAGGAATTTCACAAAATATATAGCAGTAGGATAATAAAGTATATTAGATCCGCTACTGAAATCACACAATAGACGTCTAATTGTCTAATGAAATTATTTTAAGAAAAATATCGTCAATTTAGACAAATATTCAAGGGAACTGATAACAGAATAATAACTGTGTGTGTGTGTATGTGTGCAAGTCGTTGTTACCTAATTATACACCAAAGTACAAGACCTAATCCATTATAAGGATCAAGACATAATACAAGTTCTCTCGACGGATATAATTCACACGATAATTTAATGGAACGACATACATTTGCTACAGCATTATAAGTTATCTTAAAAGAATAAGCAAAATATTTTATTATTTTAACTTTTAAACTTAAAAGTGTTTCATTTACTTTGACGCCTGTTAATGTTCCTGTTGTTGATATACTAAAATCAAGATAACACAATTGATCTGTTTTTCGTCTATTTTCAACATTCAACACTTTTTTATTTTTAGGCAATTCGTCTGTATCAATAATTAATGGCCATAGTTTTGGATCAATCAGAGTGGATGCTTCCTACACATACCGAATGAAAAACAATAGATAATTTAAAAAAAAAAATAGTTTATCTATATAAATTTTATTTACTTTGCATCGTAACAATTTCGCTATTGTACCATTTGTCAGAATCATTTTTGAATGACTAAGTTCAACAATCATTTTAACAGTTGGTAGAGTATTTGATAAATTCTGAGAATGAGGAGGACGGATGGCCACAGGAATTACACCTAAACAAGAAGAAATTAGAAAATATTTGATAAACAAGAAAACTCACCAATTTTACTCACCAATATATAAACATGCATAAAATGCAGATACGAGTTCAACACATGGTGGATAAAGAAGTGCAATATGATCATTTGGTTTTAAATCGAGACGATCTAACATGGCCAAAGCAATACGTTCACTGCGTTTATGAAGAGCTAAACACGAGATTTTAGCTGATTCTTGACCCTAAAATATATCGAATAAAATAGCATAAACAACAAACAACTTTTTAATATAAACAAAAAAATCATAATTTGATTTCTTTCTCATTAAAATATTCTCTACAACCAGAAGAAAAATATGAACAAAATAAATCTATAGTCGTTAGCAGTCACGATCAAATAGTTATACAATAACGTACCTTAGCATTGATAACCGAATAAAGTAAATGATCGGGAGTGGTTGTTGCACGCCATTTTAAAATATCATCAACAAACTGAAGCTACAAGTAAATACTCAAATATTAGATTTTTTTCAAACAAACTGAAATACATACTTTTCGCGCTGCATCCATTTCATCGTCGTGTAAATCGGCACCTTTGGCTTCAGCTAATCTCATTCCTTGAATTATTGTCCCAGCCAATATAGCTCCAGGACCAACTTCACGTTCTGGATGATGTTCACGTGGTTTTGGCAAATTTAAAATACAAGAATGTGGACACATTAATACACTAAAACATGGTAAAAAAAGAATGTAAATGAAAAAAATATGGTCAGTTTTAAATATACTTACGAGCAAGGATGTAAATTTCCGTCAAGTAAACGTCGACGTGTTTCATGAACATGAATTGTACCGGAATGATTCTAAAAATATAGACTATAATTAAATTTAAAGAACAAAAACCGTAATCTTACATACTTTTGGTAATGTATTTGCGGTTACGAATGCTAGGCAATAAATGCCAACTTGATGAATAGTATCAACAGCTTGTAATACGCGACTCATCCATTGAAAACACTAAAAAGATACTCATATAAGTCAACTATCAAACTATAACTGAATGAAAAGTCTATTTACCTCATCTTCTGCTATATCCGGTCTTTGTTCAGCTACAATAATAATTCTTTCATCTTTTAAGACTCTTATTGAAAACGCCACAATTCTTGCTCTATAAACAACTTTAATGGGTTCCACTGCTAAAGCTGTTGCTATTATATCATCACTATTATGTTTACGGCCACCAACTTGCATCAAACCATCTCGACTACCTGTTACAAATAATAGTCCACCCTATAACAGAGAATATGTAAGCATTAGTCAAATAATAATGGATATAGAAAGATTACTTACTGGACCAAGAAAACCTAATAGACCAGATCTAACAAATTCTTGCGTTCCAATCGGTCGTTCATCTGAGCCGAGTGGACAAACTTTGAATACGTTTTGAGATAATCCGGGCAGTGACCAGTAGGAAGAGGGTGTGGCTTTGGATGATATCACAATTTCACCTATCTCATCTGTTTGACATAACGATGTTGGACCATCAATTTTAACTATACCAATTATAGCTAGAAAAAGAATAGATAGAAATTAGGAAAGTATTATTAAATAAATTTTATTAAATTGAATATGTTTATTCCATCTATAAATAACTTACATCCAGGTAGCACATGTCCAACATCTTGTATTGTTAATGACGTTAATGAATTATCTTGATCAACTCTCACCACTCCGTATGATAATGCTTGCATTGATAATATTCCTCTTCCACATTGATGTGATGTTGACTGTCTATCATATCGCCGAATGGATAAAGTTAAAGTCTCACTCGAATATGAACATGGACATAGTGCATCTTGTCTTAAACCTTTTGAATGAAATGTTGATAAGAATGTATCAACTGAAGTTATTGACCAAGGATTAGAGCCATCACCAATTAAAAGGATTCGTAAGGATGATAAATTAATTGGTGGAGTATCTTTTGATGATGAACTATTAGATTCACGAGATGATAATACAGCCCAATGCATATCACTAGAATTGACCACAGTGAAAATAATTTAACATATGCGATGAACTTACATATATATTATCGACTTACCGTGATTTAACTATACCGACGGTCACTCGATGTTTACTAGCGGCTAATAACCAACTAGATGGTGATGCTTTTAATAATGAACAAGGAACAAATAATACCTGCATACCACATAATACACTCTGAAACACGTAAAATGTGATTAAGTGAGAAAAAAAGCCTAATTTCATCTTCTTATATCATACAGTCAATACTCTTTCTCCAAAATGAACAAATTTTTTTTTAGTGTTAACATTTTGCATTCATTTTTCTAAGAAAAATAAAACTTACAGCATGAACACCATGCCATAGACCAACTTCACGTTTAAAATCAACACAACATAAACAGATGTCAGCTAAATAAAACAGAAACGAAGATTTTAACAAACTTATCCAACACACTATGATTCAGCTCCAAGTACTACCATCTCCATATCAAAACACAATACAGTTTGCTGTTTTTCTGAATCATTTTTGATAGGAAAGAGATAACGACTCGCGGTTTTTACCATTGTATAGAGAAGACTTGAGGAGGGATGCCTATCCAAAAATAAGGTTGCCGGGACGATCTTCAGGTGGTGTACCACACACGTCGTTGAAAAAAAGAGATCATCGCTCTGTAATTTCCTCTAGAGACACCAATGTTTAAACTACTCAGTATATATTCTACAGTGTCTTGTATCAATCTGCATAAGTCCGATCTCTAGATTCTATAGTTCACGGATGGACGGCATTTTTCTGGAACCTACCTATCTAGCTTTAATAACCTTAAAATTAGTTCCAAACAAAGGTTTTCGACCACGTCCCAATCCATGTTGTGAAAACCGTTCGAAAACCGTCGATTAAGGGCGGTTATTTCAGCTAAAACCATAGCAACACAGCATAAAAACCGACGGTTAAGCGCACAGTTAGAAGGAAATAACCGCCGTTTTGTCGGTTTACTGTGCGCTTAACCGTCGGTTTTTATGCTGTGTTGCTATGGTTTCAGCTGAAATAACCGCGGTTAACTATCGGTTTTCTTGAAAAATAGACGACATGGGAATGTTCTAATCTTAACTACAAGATCAGATTTAGCAGACACAATGGAGTATATATTGAAATTATGGAATAGTTTGGATCGATTATCACTGGGTTCTTCAATTTTCTTCTGAAAAGAAACATTGAGGCGCAATTCGACGTGGTCGAAAATCTAAGTTTAGAATTAATTTTAAGGTTATCAAAACTAATTGGGCTGAGATAGATAGGTTCAAGCAAAATGCCTGTCATCCGTCAGAGGTTGGACTTATGCAGATCGATACAAGACACTCTAGAATATATACTGAGTATTGTAAACATAAATGTCTCTAGAGGAACGTCATTTACAAACTATTCTGAACATTTTTAAACATATTGAAAAATGAAACCTTTTACTCACATGATGTATATTTACAAGCATTAATAAGTGTTTGACTATGTACTAATAGTTGCTCATGTGTGATTGTAACACCAACAACCCCTCCATCCTTTAAAGATGAGTACTAAAAAAGAGAGAATAATCAAATGAACTAATTGTATTTTACTGTAATTTTATCCTTACTTCAATATAGGCAGGATTATTTCGATTATTCGAGTCTTGGACTAATAATGGTAATGTCCAATCTCTCGGTGGTTTATGTAAATGTTCAGTAACAAACCAGACAATTGATGGCCATCCTTTGAATGAGAGAATATCACCGTGATGACTATGATGTACTGAAGTCGTTGTTGGAGTAGATGAATGAGTAGTCGACGCTGGGTTTAAATTTGTTTTGGGCAATTGTCGATAACATGAATCAGAAGTTAAAGCTACTTTAACACCTAATTGACCCAATAAAATGCCAATACGTTGAGATAACCAATCCTGTAAAGTAACAGAAAAGAATAAAAAGTTTTGTCGAATTACAAACGAAGGAGACAAGTATGAGGCCACATATGCACACATTCTTACCCTCCTAGCTAACGGTACATCAACCGGTAACGGGACAATTCCAGCCATAATACACCCGTAAAATGCACAAATAAAACTAATTGGATCACTATTCGGATATACAAGAGCAACCTTAAATAACAAAAAAGAAGTTTATTTAAATATAATGATCATCTAACGTAAAACAACAAAACTTACTCTATCGCCCGATTTCAGTAAATTTTCACGCGAATTACTTCCTGATCCTTGACAATGAACTTTATTTAAAAGATTATAGGCAATTTTCTGAGAACGCGTCATTAGTTTCACTAGAAAAATGACTAAATATTATAAACAAAAATAGAACAAAAATATGGTAATGCTTACTAAATGTTAGAGTATTTGCCGCTTTCCCTTGTTCATCAAGTACTACAAGAAAATTATTTCTTCCTTGATTAGTTCCATGTTGATTAATCGCTTGAATAAAATTTTTCGACCATTGAGAAGATACAACAAGTTGTTCACCGCACGATGGCACACTGATTCCACCTTCGGGTTTTGGTGATAGCGGATCAATTGGAGGCACTAGACATAAAACAATAGATAAATAATGTTTCTATTAAAAAAATATCTTTTTCAACTTACTTGCAAGTTCTTCTTCATTGTCTTCAAAAAATTCATGTAGTTCCTTTCTCTTAGGACGCTAAAATGTACACAAAATACATGATAATAAGCATATCAACTACTGTAGCGCTAGAAGTGATTACAGTACTCCACAAAAGTAGCGACCCTCTGTCTGTAATTCAAGAACCATGATAGCTAGTAATTTCTGATTTTGTGTGGTCATAAACTCTCATCGAATGCTGATCATCTAAGAAGTTTAAAAATCTTGGGGGCAGTAGTTTTAAAAATAAAAAAGTTTTTATCTGAAAAACTGAGCGGTTAGTTAATAACCGGTCCTATTTTAGAGAAAAACATCCATATATCATCGATGAACCATCGTGAGAAATTCTGCAATATCTCTTTTGTAGAGCAAACATTTGTGCATAAAACTATCGAGTCGAAAAATTTTTAAAAAGTTTCTCGAATTTTTAAAACTACTGCTCCCAAGCGCCCCGATAAAATAACCGTTAAATGCCTATACACGACTCTATTGTATCTATGGTATGAATTTTGTGAGTTAATGGTCAGTGAAATACAACTATTTTACCGATAAGGATCTCTTTTTTTTTTGTTGAAAACTGGAGATTCTTTGCAAAAAACTTGACAACTAAATCTAGGAGCGTCATTTTTAATTTAAATTCGCATCGAAGATTCTACACTGTCTAGCCAAAGTATGAAGGTCAACTATTGAGTGATTTCTGGAAATTCATTGAGAACGAGCACTCACGATTGAAACATACGTAGGGTGAAGAACTAAGGGTCACCCTTTCTACTATAGAACCTGCATTAAATGTACACCATAATAATAAAAAAATAATCATAGAAACCTATGATTCCGAAAAACTTAGCTGAAAGTTTTGTCAGAAAGATGACACGCTTATCTCTAACCTTTGCCATTTCACTTATATCCGCTCATTTCGCTTCCTTTATATTTTCAAGCAAAATTAATAACATAGCAGAGAAAACTGACTCGAACAGTATTCTTAACACTCGATTTCTGAACAAAAAAATTTCATTCAAAATTTTTTCTCTAGATTAGAGATGAGCGTGTGTCATCTTTCTGACAAAATTTTCAACTTTTTTTTAGCTATCATAGTTCTTGACGTACAGAGGAGGAAGTCGCTACTAGGGATGAATGGTAACGGTAAAAAACGTGTTACCGTTTCCGACACTTCGGTAACAACTTCAGGTTTTTACCGCGGTAAATGCAAACCGGTAAAAATTCTCAAAATTTTACCGCGGTAAACTTCGATAAAAAAATGTTTTACCGTTACCGCTCATCCCTAGTCGCTACTTTTGTGGAGTACTGTAGATTTGAGTATCAAGATATTTAAGAGCAACTGAATATTGTTTGAATACGGATAAAATGTTGACATTTTTCGTAAAAGTAACATTACAAAAAAAATGTCATGATATGCTGCTAGGCCGATTATTTGTACGTATTTAAAAATTATTTTATTCAAATTTTTTTTTTTTTTTTTTGTGTGTATGTGTGTTTTACTTACTTTCAATGTATTAACCAATGCCAATATTTTCGATGATACTCGTGTACTCGGTTTCCGTTCTAAATTATTTAAATGACGACGAGTAGAACGAATTGTATAATTGTAATCCGTAGTTGATGAAAATAGATTCATGGTTTTTTTTATTTTATTTTAATAAATATGAATTTAGTTATGGAAATTGATTTCTATAGGTATGATTATCATTTTCTTCTTCCTTTGTCTCCCCTCCTACTCAACGAACTTCGAATAATAATTTGTCAAATGCGACAAACAATAGAATAACGATAAGAAGAGAAAGAATTATATTTTATAACTCGAATATACATTATATATATATATGTACATCATGTACATTTTAAAATAAAAAAAATTTGAATAAAATAATTTTTAAATACGTACAAATAATCGGCCTAGCAGCATATCATGACATTTTTTTTGTAATGTTACTTTTACGAAAAATGNAAATAATTTAGAACGGAAACCGAGTACACGAGTATCATCGAAAATATTGGCATTGGTTAATACATTGAAAGTAAGTAAAACACACATACACACAAAAAAAAAAAAAAACGAAACAAAAAAATGTCAAGTATAGTTATGTTCTGATAAGATTCATACGGCGAGATGATGGATAGAAAAGAAAAGAAAAATGACTTAAAGGTAATAATAACAATAGGCTAAAAACTCAACAATAATGGACGAAAAAAAAAAACCTTAAAATCTGCTTTTTGTTAAAATTAAAATTTTTGTCGTATAACAAAAGTTATTTTCTTTTTCTCTGTCAAAAACAAAATTTTATTCATTTCTTATCGAGTAAGGGGACTATGACGGGACTATGACTAAGGATGAACGATAATCGATAAACCTATTTATCAGCAACGATAATGACGAGAAGAAAAAATATTGACTATTAATCTGGTAAAAGAAAAATCTTTTTTTTTTTTTTTTTTCGATAAATTATACTCTTATGTTAATGTAAGTTATTTTTATCGTGATAAAAAAAATTTTTTTTTTTTTTTTTCTTCAGTCTGTCTCTGAAAAGTTTGTTTACCACTTGCAGAATTTTTAGTAAATTTTCTTATTACAAAACATAGTAGTGTATAGTTCATTTTTTTGCAATTTTTATTTAACAAAATTTGGAGAAACTCTTGTTTATCAAACGGGTAAAAAAACACCAATTTTTAAATGCGTTTTTTTTTTCTTCCGTGGAGCAAGCACGATGTCGGTACAGATCTTACTTTCAGCGTTTTGTTTTTTTTCATTTTTCATTATTCCGGGCAACCGACGATTAACCGTGATATATTATCGATTTTCATAAAATAGATGATATAAAAAGTTTGTTTATTCAACACAATTCTTAACAATGCTTTTTATTTTCATACTATTTAAATTTCTTCGTTGAATGAGTTTAAATTAGTATTCAACAAAAATACTCTAGCGAACATCATCCGCTTTAGAATGAATACAAGGTTTCTATTCATCTTTCTGAAATGGAAAAAGCGCTCACATTATGCATGCATACATTTGTCCTTCGATAAATCTTAAAAAGAGAAATTCTTCTTCTTCTTCTTACATAAAATGTGCAATGGAATTCATGGAAACGTTGAATAAAAAGGAAAATTTAAGGAAAATATTTTGGTAAATTTCTTTTACTATTATCATAATGATACTCTAGTCTTTCAGCTAAAGAATATTTTATTTTTAAATGAGAACTAATTGTCTATCGATTATTTTTAACTATGTTGTAAATTTCATAGAAAGAGAACGACAGGTTCAGGTGACATACGATTCTAAAAAAGTCTTGTCTTGATGTTATTTTTTTAATGTAACGGGTCGATTTTGTTTTTGAAGCACTTTAAAAATCATCATAAAATGTGGTTTTGAGCTCATTCGATAGAAAATTCATTGATCTACTAAACTATCAACTTTGTCTTTTCAAATAAATTTTTCTTGTTGACGCAAAATTTAAAGGATTAACATCCACTCAATTATCCAACTACGATCTCCTGTTTTCTGTAAACATCTATTAATTTGTGTAAGGCTGTGCTCATCATCAAGTACGATGCTACAAGTATTTAACATCAACAGATAGAGAATTTTTATGCTACGATCTTTTCAACGTTCGTGAGACTGTCGTTCAGGAGAAAAAGATTTGGAACTAACACCTGTTGGTATTTTTGGATGTATTTTGGAAAATCATACGTTCGAAAGTCAGACTTGGTCTATGAAACGTTTATTCTCATCCCATTGAATGTAGAATTTAATTCTGAACAAAAATGATGTGCCTGTTAAGCTGAACAGTGAAAAGTTTTAGGTTGTTTCGAATTAAAAGAGTACAATGGCAAAGATTTCTCAGAAAAGGAATTTTTTCCATGTTTTCAAAAAAATGTTTTCACATTTTTTACTTTTTCTCTCAAGTATTTCTTCTAAAATGCAAACGTTTACGGAGAACGTTACAGCATATTTGAAAATTTCAGCAGAACTCTTATTAAAAAATTTTCATCATTTTTTCGTTTTTTTGACCGTCACAGTTGGACGATTGAATGAATGTTAATCTTTTAAATTTTGCGTCAACAAGAAAAATTTATTTGAAAAAAATAAAATCGACAGATTAGTAGCAGAGATCGTCACGGGCCAGACCTACGTTTTTGAATCTTGTTTACGGGTCGGACCGGACCGGGGCTGCAATTTGATGGCCCGCACGCGAGCCCAGCCCTTTTCTCCAAAAGTCGATAAAATTACATGACAACATCGAAAGGCAACACTTATTTTAAATGTGAGAAAAAGACACTATCTTCTCTTGAAAATATCGCTGACGAAGTTGACTGTCTTTTGAGTATCAGTTCTATAAACTTATATCTGCTGATATATTACCGAAATCCAGCGCTTTTAATATCTCCTATGTTTCCATACTAATCTAGATTCTACGGGCTACCCGGTGGATCGGCTTGTAGAATGTAGAATGCATTTGGCTCGGCCGCTACGGGCCGCTCCAAAAAATGTACGCGTTTTATCTGGCCTAGCCATTATATTAGAATGATTCATTCTTATCGACATACCACCTATATTTGTATTTTGATTTATTTGTTGTATAACTGCTGGTGATCGTTCTTCGTACATGACATAGTGTTGATAATTATTGTTAATGTAGTCTGAGTTTGGATCACGATAGCGAGCACCCGCACTGCGTGTCAAATCTGGTTGTACAGATGAAACTAAAATAAAAACGAGAAAAACATAGATAATCAGTTAGATATAAAAAAATGAATTTCTCTATACGTACGAGAAGCTTCTTGACCCCGATGAATAAAATCAGATAAAAATGATGATGTTACTGGTAGCGGTAAAGATGGTGCTGGGATATCTAGATAAAAAAACAAAAATAAAAAAATACAAACAAAAACTCCGACAATGGTCTCGTATATCTCTACTTTTAATAAGTGTTTCTAATTCTGGTAATTGTTGTTGTTGTTCAATTGTCTTTGGTTGTTGTACTGGTGACTGATGATCATCTGTTGTGTATGTTAAACTTTCATCATCACTAGATAAATCTAAGAAAAACAACAAATTAACCAAAATCAAAAATAAATATAAAACTCTTTTCTCTATCTACCTGCTGATATTTGTTGAGTATTTGATATTCGTTTTGATGATGTTATTGGTTTATTACCATACTGTTCAAGTGCTTGTTTAACGGCTTCTTGACGAACATCTAAAATGAAAAGTAACATGTAAAAATATAGACAAATTTATCTAACTCTTTTCATATCCAAGAACCATGTACAACATACCTGAATGATATCGATTGTATCCGTCATGTTTTTGTCTTCGACATTGAATTCTTGATTTAGGATGTTTATGATTCGATGTCACAATAGCTGAATTTTCATCTTTAAAAATAAAGAGTTAATTTGTAATGCTATTTTAATAACAGTAAGATAGAGTCATACTTGATCGACTATCATCTGTTTGCTGTTGTTGTTTTCTATACGGTTCTAATAGTTTTGCTCGCTTTTTTTCAAAACCTTTCTGTGTTATGTCACCTAAAAAAGAAAAACAAAATTCACAATAGTCATGATGTTTAATTTGAACGCTAAATGAAATGAAGCTAATTTTTTTCTGATATCACCAATGTTACTATTATTGTAGAGAAATTTGACGTGCTCTGTTTTAACCCAAAAAATATTGAACGTATAAATACAAATAGATTAGGTTTTTACGCTTAAAATAAAAACATCAGTACATTGAACAAAAGTCTTACCTTCAGCTAACTCTAATTCAAGTTCTTGTAATTTTTGTTGAATATCAATTGGTAACCATGTATCTGACTCGGTCATATTGAATACATAACTCTGTATATTATGTCTAAATGTTTGATTTTAGTATATGTTCAATATTGTGTACGTATATCTTGAATAACAGATCACAAGTTAGTTGGTCTCATTTGGATTATACAACTACTACATCGTGCTATTTGTTATCGAGGTCAATTATTATGCTATACACAACCTGTCAATCAATCAGCAATCTCGTTTTTCTTCGTTAGCGTAACATTCCTTCATCAATTCCGTAATTTTTCTCTATCTTTACTTACGTTCTGCAAATTTTCATTTGACAAAATTCATCATTCAAAATGAGGAAGATTTCCTCCGAAGTGAAATAATGCTACAAGTAGAAATTTCACGACAGGACAGTTACTCAATTATCAAATAACACTGAGAAATTAACGCGTTAATCAACTTAAGTAAAATAGTGAAGCATTTATATCTGTGGAAAGTGACACCATTTACTAAGAGAATAGTTTCTCTCGGCAGAGGGAGGCAGAGAAGAGCATGTAACTCAGGTTGTAGTTCAAAAAATCGGTTACTGTAGCATTTGTAGTGAAAAAAAGTGTGGAAGATCATCATAACTTCAAGATTGCAATTTTCATTCTCTTTGAGTTGAACCAAAGAACAAGCTGAAACTGTAATACAACTACCGGACCATGGAAACGATAGCTGTTCTCGAAAACTAGACAAAATCTGTTTCGAAAAGATGAAATGACAAATGATTAAATGTAAAAATGGTTCTGAAGCTATTTTTAAATTCTATACAATCTTCTTTCTAGAATTGTAAAGAGTTGAAATACAACAAATTATAAAACGATTAGAGATGTACGGTAAAGTTCGATTTTTAAATACCATATGAAAATGGCACATATAGATTTTTCAACAGTGCTATGTGGTATAATTATCGTTTTTCTGTGTCTTTTTCTTCTATACTGGTAAAGCCAACGGTCTGCTTCAACAAACTCTCTAAAAGTCAGCACAAAATTCACTAATTTAAACTACGTTTCAGAAAACTGACTTTTGGTATCTAAGTACCATTGACGGATGATAACCAGTGAACCTCATCATTCAAGAAGATTAAAGCCATTGTTTCTTGCACATTAGCCTCTTCATTTTCTTTTGACATATTGCAAGTTGAACACCAGTCTTTCTAGACGTAAAGGCGCTGTAAGTTATTGACGCCAAAACGAGATATGTATGAACTTGTAGAGGAACACTTGCTCTATCCAGTAGTGCATATATTGTCGAATTCTAATGTGCACTGTCAGAGAAAATCAAAGGTAACCCCTTGTGGCTGCTCGTAGGCCTTTCTCTACGAGCTTGCACAAAGTAAATCCCAGATGATGTTCCCAGCACAACACATTATTATTATCATATCACAATAAAAATAGGAACTCATTTTTACAATGTCAAAATATTCACAATAATATGAATAATAGTTTTAGTCTTCTTTTTCTATAATAAGAATGGTGATGTTGTGCTCCTTCTTCTTGTGTAAGGTGATGTTGAATGAATTAAATCGAAGTCGATATTTTCAATAGGAGGAGGAGTAAAAGAAATTCGCAAACGAAATGAACTAACTTAAATTACGTTAAAGAAAACCGATTCGTACTAAATAATATGATAATTGAAAATAAATTTCTTCTTCTTTTATTTAAATGGTAAAAGAAGAAGAATAAAAAACTTGAATGAAAGGAAAACCAAACACTCTACTTTTTGAAAAGTAAAGTGCAAAGAAAATAGGTTTTAATGTTTTGAGAAAAAGTAACAAAAAGTCCTTTTTCTGAACGAAACTAGGTTCGATTTATGACTCGTTTTTCGTGTAACGCGCGGAAACGGAAATTAATTCTTTATGAGTTGATTTCATAGAAGAACTTTCTCTATTTCTTCATACATTCCGCCAAATGAAGTTTTTACCTTCCTCCACTCGAAAGGAGAAGGAGAGAACAAATTTAGTAACGACAAAGCAGCCGTTACACTCCTCTTTTTTAGAAATCATTTTTATTTTTGAGTTAAATATTGTACATTATAGAGTAAAGTATCCTCTACAAAATAAGACCATCCATGTACGTCCCCCAGCAAGGGTCTTAGCACCAGCTGAAGTCGGAGTCTTTCCGACGACTCGATTTTAGGTATTGCCGAGATACCAGCTGTTCATTGGGCTCCTCGACTTAAAGCTCTGAGGGATCACCGAGAAGACTTGATAAACCCGTTTTACTCTAAAATAAAAAGATGATCTAAACAGAAGTGTATTTCTCGTTGAAATTGTGTTTCTTATATACATACTTTACTGCAAAATAAAATGGTGAATAACAATAACCATTTAATCGCTTAAAATCAACAATTAATCGCAATTAATTGGCGATTTTTAAAAAAACAAAAATCATCGGAATCGTCAATTAATCGCAATTAATCTGCGATTTTTCAAGAATGGCGATTAATTGTCAAAAATATCGCGATTTCGTCGACATGGGCACTCACAACTGTCAAAGGCCTTTCGTTGAGGAGATACGAATTTTTTAAAGTTTGTTACTTTAGGCTGAAAAAACCCTATGTTTTTACCTTCGAAACCTTTTTCTCTTTGATTCAGTACTTGATAAACTTTTGAAACAGTTAGTCGTGTAGAGTAAAGATTTCTCTACAAAATGAGATATCTCCCAGCTCTCCACCATATTTTCTGATAGAATTATAATCATTTTGGACGTTATATGATAAATATGACTTTTTCAAAGGCTTCCAGCAAAATCGTATCTCCTTTCGTATATCCTCAACGAAAGACCTTGGGCAGCTGTGAGTGGCCTTATTTTGTAGAAGATACTTTACTCTATAATGTACAATATTTAACTCAAAAATAAAAAAGATTTCTAAAAAAGTCGAAAAAAAGAGGGGTTACCTTTAATTTTCTTTGACAGTGCACATTAGGATTCGACAGTATATACACTGCTGGATAGAGCAAGTCTTCCTCTACAAGCTCATACATATTCCGTTTTGGAGTCAATAACTTATAGTTGCCATACAAAATCTTAAAAACGATTACTTTATTATGTTATTTTCATACGACTGACAGGCAAACGATAAAAATTGTATATAAAATGATGTTAGTTTGTGTTTTTATTTGTTGATCTATTTAGATCTTAATTTCATTTTTTCATATGATATTGCTTCTGTGAAAAAAACCCTTGACTTGTACAAACATAATTTTTTTGTTTTGTTTTGTCTGTTTTTAATTAAAGAAGACCATTATTATCATCGTTGTGCTTCTACATACATATAAAAAAAGTAAAATACGAACAAGGATGAAATGGTGATATGTACAGGATGAGATAGATATCAAAATAAAAAAACTATAAAAGTCAGAAAGGTGGGTCTTCTGGCCTTCGCTGTTATTTTTTTTCGTTTTTAGTAGTAACAATTTATCGTGTTTATGTATCGTACTTCAGCAGAAAAAAAAAATGGTTGCTGCTTTTTCTCTGTGTCCTTATATTTACCAGAGCATACGTTGCGTAGAGCATAATAAACACCTCTTCGCTTTTCCACACCATAGTGATATGGTTAATATAATGAAAAATCCTATTCACTCGTCATTAATTGGAGATTTGTTCTTATTATTATCATAAAAGTCGATTACAAAATATTTTTTTTAATGGAAAACTCAGAATTGAAATGTTCTACAAAGCAAAATCAATTAAAACGTAACATAAGCGGTGTACATAGAAAAACAAATTCGATAAATAAGTCTAATGTAGTCTGTCCAGTAGAGGACACTCGAAACTTTTCATCGTCTGAAGTTTATAATATTCATAAACATCTTGTACAAACATCACAATCTGTTGGAAATGTATCTGGTGGACAGAAGCTCAAATTTTCCGATCAGGAATTTTTACCAACACCAGAAAACGTAGCAAGAGGAGACAAAGGAATAACAGTTTTAGGTATGTAGAAATTCTGTGTACGAGTTTCAGATTACTATTATTTACACATAACCTTGTTCAACTAGAATCAGTTTCACCTTCTCTATTCATGCACAAGTTCGACGAGTGAAAAAACTGGTCGATATAATAGTTCTGTCTTTACTCAAAACCAGAGCGGGACAACTCAATTCCGAAGTTGAGTATCTTTTTTGCGGAGTTGGAGTTGAGTTCGAGTTTGCTTTTTAAACCATCAGAGTTGAGTTGATGACAGATTTGATCAACTCCAACTCCGAAACTCCGATTCAAAATTTCTTCAAATTCGACTACAGCAACTCCTGTGGAGCGTGTTTTTTCATAATCAGTTTTTTTGTTTCGATCACATCGTAATAGTATGTCAAAGAATATGCTTTCAAAATTAACATTGTTCAAATGTAATTTTGATTTATTATAATGATTTTATGGTGCATACTATTATAAAAAGAAAACATGACCGTTATACGAACGAATTAAAAAACAGGAAGGAAAAAGAACGAATAGATTTTAACTCGGAATTGAAACGGAGTTGGAGTTGAGTTGGGCTTGTACCCAACCAGAGTTGCCCAGTTACGCTCAAAACTTATAAAATCGACTAGTCAAACTAATCTACTTTGACCCGAAAAGGTTTTAAATAGTCGATATTTCGATTACTACACAACTCGCCGCAAATAACACGACTAGTCCAAAAATGAATTTCGAAGAATTTGACTACTCGGACAATTAGTCGCTTGAGATATTAAGTTTGCATGGGTAGTACTAGAATTATACTTTTTTTAAAGAATATGCTGAAGTAATCTGGAAAACAATCTTCGGTCAGCGGATGAGTAGCATTAAGATCATTTTTCGTCCTCCATATTTTTGAAAATAAGTCATATATTTGAAATTAGCATTGAATTCTAAACAAAATAGTCTATTTAGATTTTTGAAAAACTCACTTTCATTCTTTTTTCGAAAAAATGTTTTTTTCTCGTTTTTTGCCGAAATCTCGTGCACTATATGTTATCGAGGATGCCAGTTACGATTGGTTTAGGATCAAGATGAATAAATTGGGATTAAGGTTTA